CACTTCAGTGTTAACTTTGTCACGAGGCGTCACGAGTTGACCTACTTCCCTTATCGTCCTGTACTTTAAGGTCTGTGTTCCACTTCCGGCTCAAACTGGCCGTCTGTCCGTTCTCTTTGGGCTACAAAGTGACATGATGCAATCTATAACAATTCTTTTTTTCTGGCCTTCAAAATCCAGGAGGGGAAAGAATCATCCGCGAGTGATTTTGTGAATTTTGATACACTGCTTCCGAATTTCATTATTTTTTATTTTCTTTTACGTTTAAACGCAGTTTTCAAAATATACAAACGAGAATTCTATCCCTAGCTAAAGACGCCAAAAGATCAAACAATGCCAGATTTTTGCTGCGGCTGATCTGTTGGTCAGTGTCTATCACTTCCGCTACCCGCTGGCGAGAACTTTCTCGTTTGTAAACTTATTGAAAACTACGTCTTTGAAAAATAGAACATTCAGAGCCAGCAGATCAAAGTTAACAACACGACTGACGGACGAAACGTTTCCCTAAATGGCGCACAAAACGACACGAGGTCTTTAGTTTGTTGGAGGTTGCATCATGTTCTCCTTTTCCAAACACAAAGGTCGAGAAGGCGCTGAACTTTTATCTGCGAAAACGGCAAAATAGGACTGGTTGAACGCTCCTGTCTATGAAGTATTCTCACAGTCCGGACCTCAGAGTCAAGTGGGACGTTCGTGCAAAGTGCTATTCCCAAGGACACAACGTAGGACTGAGCTGAGGCTCGAACCCTAGAACCCGCAATCTCACGGTTTTGAGTCTAGTTGCCTAACTACTAGGCCACCGACGCCACCATTTGTATGTGATCATCCGTCACAAAGTTATATGGTCGCCACACTGAGAGTGCAGAGAGAAAGCATGAACTGTTTACACAACTGTTCGTTCTTCCTCAGGTGGGGGCATGGGGCGACATTTGCTTCAGATTTTTCCAAAGTTATATTTATTGACCCTGCGAGACTACCGGTATTTTCTGTTGCCCTTTACAGAAGTGACAAACCACGACCTTGGAATGACAGACTCCAGATTGAAGGTTTATCGAGAACGAGTTACACACTAAACATTACTGACACATTACTGACACATTACTGACACATTACTGACACATTACTGACACAGATACCTTCCCCAAAGTGGCAAATGACCGGAACGATTCTGACCTGTTTTCTTTTTCTTGTTCACTTTGACACTCAGCAAAACGTAAGGCGTAACAAATCTCAGTCACAGGAGAGCATGTCGTTGAATCCCATGTTCTCCAACTGTGCGTCATAGATGTAGATCCGCGCCATTCCAAAGACGCAAAACAGGAGAAAAAAAGTGTATAAAACGAATTCTTGCTGACTTTTCACAAATGCAATAGTAATACGTGTGCGTACGTTTTGAAACGTTCAAGGAATTGAACAGTTTTTCTGTTTGCAATAACATTTGATTTGGAGCCCTGAAGTTCCCTGAGGCCGATAAGATGTACAAGCAAAATTGTCCAAGAGGGCCGCCCATTGTGAAAAAGAAAGCTGGTTCTTAATATGTTAAAAAAAAATTTTAAAGACTATTATATAGTATATAGAACTTTCACTTGTCTTTGACTCCTGTACAAACGAACTTTCCCTCGTCTCAACATACGCGTATTTGACATGACAGCGACACTTTCCAAGCCGTTAACCTGTCTAGAACAACCAACCACTCATCCCCTCTACAACATGAGGCCGGCTTGGACAATTTCGACTGTTAGTCTTGTAAACACTTGACAGAACTTGGGGTTGTGAACTAAGGGACACACGACACTTGACAGAACTTGGGGTTGTGAACTAAGAGACACACGACACTTGACAGAACTTGGGGTTGTGAACTAAGGGACACACGACACTTGACAGAACTTGGGGTTGTGAACTAAGGGACACACGACACTT